GAGCACCACGACCCTGTACCTGGGCAGCATGGCCCTGTCCGACCTGCTCATCCTGCTGGGGCTGCCCTTCGACCTCTACCGCCTCTGGCGCTCCCGGCCCTGGATCTTCGGCCAGCTGCTCTGCCGCCTCTCGCACTACCTGGCCGAGGCCTGCACCTACTGCACCATCCTGCACATCACGGCGCTCACCGCGGAGCGCTACCTGGCCATCTGCTTCCCGCTCAAGGCCAAGGTGGTGATCACCAAGCGCCGGGTCAAGGCTGTGATCGGGGCCCTGTGGGCCTTCGCCCTGCTCTCCGCCGCGCCCTTCTTCTTCCTCGTGGGTGTGCAACGCACTACCTGGCCGAGGCCTGCACCTACTGCACCATCCTGCACATCACGGCGCTCACCGCGGAGCGCTACCTGGCCATCTGCTTCCCGCTCAAGGCCAAGGTGGTGATCACCAAGCGCCGGGTCAAGGCTGTGATCGGGGCCCTGTGGGCCTTCGCCCTGCTCTCCGCCGCGCCCTTCTTCTTCCTCGTGGGTGTGCAAGAGCTGGACAACCAGACGGAGTTCAGCCGGGAGTGCAAGCCCACACCGCTGGCCACCGAATCGGGCCTGCTGGGCACCATGCTCTGGGTCACCACCAGCTTCTTCTTCCTGCCCATCCTCTGCCTCAGCGTGCTCTACGGCCTCATCGGCAGGGCCCTGTGGAGGAACAAGAGTCAGCTCAGGGGCCCCAACGCAGCCCTGAGGGAGAAGGGGCACAGACACACCATCAAGATCCTGGGTGAGTCCCAGGGACCTGGCCCCTTCCCTCGCTCCCTGACCAGGTGCCCCCAGGCTGAGCTAGCTCAGCCTGTAGAGACCAGCACACCCTGGAACTCTTCCTGCAGCCAGCTACAGGCCAGGACGAACTGCCAGGTGAAAAGGCCTGAGAGCCTCACAGGGGGCCACAGGCTGGTGTCTGCACCTGCCAATTTCAGCAGGGATGTTCTGAGAACAGGGACATCAGAGATGGAAAAATCCTTTAGGGCAAACCGGTGACCTCTGGGCGGAGCAAGCCACCACTGGCCACTATGGGTGCATTTAGCCAATTTCTAGCTGTGGGCAATGTTCTTGTTCTCTCCGAAGCTTTGCGCAGTTTTAAATTACTCTAATAATGAGTTGTCTGCCTCTTCTCTAGGGACATTTCTTCCCCTGCCTACTAGCTTTCCCTGTTAACACGAACTTAGCAGATTTTTCAGGTATTCTTGCTTAAATCTCTTTCATACATTTGTGTGCACCATAGTTGTCAGCACTGCTTTGGAGAGCCCCTCTCCTCCCAATGCACTTGGTTATATTCGATTTTAAAAACTGTTTGTGATATCAACTACCTAGAATACTTCCAATCCCAACAGCTAAACTAAACTTCATCTCTGCAGCGCTATTGAAATTCAGCCATCTAACTAGGCTGTAGGGCAGCAAGGGAATGGCAAATTTGCATGTTTATGAAAAAGGCTAATGAAGCCTTATGGGCTCATGCATCAGAGAAGATATGTGATGAAACCCTGGCTCCATTGAAGTCAATGGGGCGCTACTCCTGTTGCCTTCAATGACACTGATTTTTCACTCTAACTTCTAAGGCTTCATGGGTTATGTTAGACAGCTACAGAAGAAATATAAAGAGCTCAGCATACTTTGCCAGTACATGAACATGTGGTTCTGAGAAGTCTGTGCATTTAGAAATTAATACTTAGACCAAAAAGCCATGTGCAGTGTCAGTAGGCACAACCAGACTTAGGACCTTTGGAGCTTAGTGCATGAGCTGCGATAGATTGAGCTATAAAATCAGCTGGGTCTCAGCTAAGGCTGTAGAGCAAACTCATTCTTTCTCTCTATAAGTGATCTAAGTGCCTTTACATAGAACAGTGCATCACACTTAGTAGGTGTGTAGATTACACATGCTTGCAGGAATGGCAATGTTTATTTGCAAGCAGAGAAGCTACTAATGTACTCTGTGAAACTGTGATATAAATGCTTAGAGAAAATTATAGAATAGATTTTGGAACTTTCATTGTTGTTTAAACAATTGAGTTAGTTACATGCACTGATACCGTTAGTTTTAGGTTCTTAGCAGTTACAAAGTTGAATTAAAATTGCCAACTTTCATTTTTGTAATATATTGGCTAATTTTAAAAGATGCCAGTTGTTGATTCAGCATCATTTAACCATTATGACTTAATCATTTTCAGAACGTTTTTCTGTGCCTCCGTAGCCATATGTAAACCTCTTTTTACAAGAGAGAAAACCACTAACTACAGAATGCTGTCAATTGCTCAAAGTAAAGAAACTAAAATCACTAGGGAAAAATACATTTTTGTGAAATACATTCAGATTTAGTAAACTTAGATATTCATTTTAACTACAGTAGGACAAAGCTTTCTGACAGAAATGTGAATTTCGAGTTGATAGTGTCTTTTTTGAAGCTGTCAAGTCAAAGTGATCCTTCTTTATTCCTTTGAAGCTAATGTAATTATGCAAGGATTGATTTGAACTATTGAACTTTTTCTGTAATTGACTGTGGTCATATGTTATATTTGGAAAAGTCACAAGCAGTACAAAGAAATTGTTTTGTGAACTTGTAAATAGAACCAATTAAAAATAATGCACATGATAGATTACAGTAAGAGACCAGTGAAAAGTGCATATCATCTATGTAACGTTAGAATAGACATAACAGTACAGCCCTTTTCAACATAGCCAGAAAGTGCACATCATCTGTGTAACGTTAGAATAGCCATAACAGTACAGCCCTTTTCAACATAGCCAATGTTAAAGAATAAATTGATTTTTCAATAATAGATTTGCTGCGCACTTTTATAAAAACACTCCTCGTCCTAGTTTTCCTCATAGGTTTCATACTACAAAAATGAGTTTGAAAATGTTACATAACTTCATTTTTTTTACTGATTTTGATATTACAGGGAAGATGCAGTAGTTGACAATTTGATATTAATTAAAGTACGTACTCTCCCCCATCCCCGCCTCCCGTTTAAATTATCTCTAGGAATTTTGCTGGAGAGATTCTGAATTACCTTTTTTGTTCTGAAAAGCAGTTCATGGTTGTGATGCTGTTCCCATTTTCTTACACCAATATGACTTCATTACTTCATTGGTGCTGCACTAGTGAACAAGGGGAAATAGAGAGCATTTTGGTACCTAGAAAGTCAGAACATTAGTGGCTTAATTAATCTGAATCCTGACCCATAACTTTGTTTTTGTCTTGCAGCTGTGTTGGTTCTGGCGTTTGTAATTTGCTGGTTGCCTTTCCATGTGGGCAGGATCATATTCATAAACACTCAGGACACCAAGATGATGCTTTTCTCCCAGTATTTTAACATATTCGCTTTGCAGCTTTTCTATCTGAGCGCATCCATCAACCCCATCCTCTACAACCTCATTTCCAAGAAATACAGGGCAGCAGCCTACAAACTGCTGCTGCCCCATAGATCTGGAGAAAGGACTCTCAGTGCTACCCGAGATACTGAGACCAGTGCTAGCATAAAAAAAGAGTACATGACCCCCTTCTGAGACTATTAGTCCATCCACAAAGCAGAGAGAATCTGTAAATGAAGGACAATTTGTTCTACTGTTATAGTCATAAAAGGCTAGATTTGGGGGAGGGGAGTTGCTAGTTGTAGAATTTTATAATTCTTTATAGTTTTTCTTAATATCTCTATTTTTGCGTTAACAGAGAAAATGAACAGGCGACTTAGAACAGTGAGACTGGCATGCAACTAGTGAAAGGCAACAAAATAACAAAGGGGAAGGTGATTAAACCCCATTGTTAATTATTGCATGTCCAGCCACACGAGTGTCTTGCAAAATTGGAGTGTAACATTTAGGGTCTAATTGTGCAGACATGCAAGTGAGTAATTTTACTCATGTGAGTAGCGTCACCAGACTCCAAGTATTGTTTCTCATGTGCATACTTGTTTCCAGAATCAGTCCTTAGGTATGACCTGTACAATCAAAGGGGTCTCTAATTTATACAATAGTGACCAATTCTCTAATATAGCAGTGTCGTTCCTTATTAAATATGTATTGTAATTAGCTCACATTAGGTTAACTTTCTAGTTGGGTCTGAGACCACAAATTTTTAACGCAAACGTAAAAGGGGTTGATTTAGTGAGGAATGTGCTGGTGTCCGGCAGAGCTATGGCAAGACAAGGTAGCGTTATCTATGGAGAGTCAAAGCATATTTATACATGACTCTTTCAGCTGCCTTGATGTAAATGTGGAACAACTCCACTGAAACCAATGGGCTACGTCTACATTGGCCCCTATTCCATAATAGGGATGCAAATATGCCTGCCGCTTTTTTCCGGCTTGGGGATAAGCCGGAGAAAAGCGCCAGTCTAGACGTGATTCTCCGGAAAATAAGCCCTTTTCCGGACGATCTCTTATTCCTACTTTCAGCAGCAGCCATGAAAATGCAAATGCCGTGGGGGGTATTTAAATCCCCCACGGATTTGCCTATTCCAAAGTTCTGCATTTGCATCCCTATTACAGAATAGGGGCCAATGTAGACGTAGCCATGGAGTTAAACAGCATTCACATCATCATAATTGGTCACGTGGCTACACTTTAGTTTTAGTTGTGTTTTAACATGTGTGTTAACTGCCATGCTTGTGTATGTATCCTTAGTGTAGTAATGCATGTCCTCTCTACACTAACGTTTACAATGGTGTTGGTGGACATGTGAAAACATGACTCAAAATGCCAGCACAGATTTCCCCAGGAAGCAGCGTTTTACCCAAACCCTTCCAAGGCATTACAATTCTCAGCCAAAGGGAACACTGGCTGGCTAGAGTTAAGGGTATGAGGCAGACAATTAGCTCACAGCCTTTGCCTTGCAGCAACTTTGCACCACAGCCAGGTTGGATTTTTTTCCCTTCAAAATGCTAACTTGACACAGGAACAAAGACTGGTTGGTAGTTTGTGGGTTTAGTAGAACACGTCGTTGTCTCTTGTGAGCTTTGTAAATAAATAGGTGTATGTCAGACAAAGCCTTGTGACATTGATTTGTGACTTTCACTGACTGAATACTCATTTGTCTAACGAGCTCAGAGAATTCCAAATTGTGGCCTGCTGAGAGCTGGCGGGTTATATAGGCTGGCGCTTCCTTTTTGTTTCCAGTGGCTAAATCGGAGATGAAAGTAAGCCAGCATGTCCCAGTGCACCGCTCTAATGCCAGGGCCCTGCTGCAGGCTGCCGTGCTAAGCAGCAAGCAGATAAAAGGGGCAGTCCGAGACTGCCCCAGCCCCGAGATGCCACTCTCCCCCAAGATGCCACTTAGGAAGGGCTGAAGCTGCCCTTGAGATCCCTACCAGAATGCTGCTCTTCTTCCCCTTCCTATTCTATGATTCCCATCACCATCAGGAAGCGAGAGGAAAGTACACAGCCTGCCTGCATTCCTCTTGCTCCTGGCAGATGAGGGCAAGAGGCAGAGAAGTGAATGATCCAGGCTGGGTGCTTCTCTCTTGTTCCCTGATAGGGATGGGAAGGGGAAGAGCAAGCAGCCTTCCTCCCCCCCCAACCTCCCTAAATGTCCCCCTTGCTCCTCCCAACACCAACCCCCTGCTTTGAGCCCTCCCCCCCCCCAGCCTTCTCCCCAGATTCCTGCACCCCCCTCACATACCCCAACCCTGACTCCTGCACACACACCCACATTCCCCTCTGCCCTGAGCCCCTCCTTAGATTCCCCAGCCTTGACTCCTACAGCCCCACAGACCTCCCAACCCCTGCCAAGCCCCCCATATCTCCAAGCCCCTGCCCCGACTCCTGCAACCCTCACAACCAACCCTGAGCCGCTGCCACCCACCCACCCTCCTCTGAGCCCTCTGCACTCCACCCCACACTTAATTTTCTTATAGGTACTGTCATAGTGCAACCCCTCCAACTACCTGCCCTGAAGCCCCCTCTCACCCATACAACAGTACCTGTAAGAAATTTAACATACTTTCACCCCTGCTGTATTAAAAACAAAACCAAGCAGGAATTCCATAAGGACCAGAGGAAAACACAGTTGTTTCCAAGCCTGAAAGAAAGGTGGCTTTGTGGGTAAGGCACGGTACAGACACATCAGTTCCTGTCTCTGCCACAGATGTCCTATGTAATCTTGGGCAACTCACAGAACCCAGCTATACCTCAGTTGCTCCATCTGTAAAATGGGGATAATGACATTCCCCTTAGAGATTTACTGTGTAATAGCTGTAAAATGAGGCCCATCCGTCTTCATTTATCCATCTTATGTACTTTAGCCAGAATGCCATTTGGGCAGGGCCTGTGCCTTGCTGTGTACCTAGCAGAGAAGACAGTTGGGGGTGCACCTCAGTGCAGAAGGAGACAGCCAGTGCCAGGGCACTCTGCTACAGGGGGAGGAGCCGTGGTGTGCTCCCACCAGCTCCTGAGGCTCTCCTGCAGGCTGGTGCTGGTAGCCCGATGAGCTGCGGTAAGCATCAGGCAACAAGGCAGGCTAAAGAGGCCAGATGGGAGTGTGCTGTAGGATGCATGTGTGCTCCCAGGTGGGCTCCTGTTGGGGTGCCTGCATCCCAGCCTGTGCTGCCCCTCTCTTGCTGAGCTGGCTGGATGTTGGGCAGTGCAGGAAGAGGAGCAGCCAGGGCCAGTCCGTGAGCCAGGTGAGCTATGACTGAAGCTACGTCTACACTACGGAGTTTTTCCAGGATACCAAAAGTATCTCGGAAAAATTCCACCGCTTCCAGGGAACGTGTTTTCTCCCCCCCTTTTTTTTTTTTTTTGGCAGAAGAGCAGACACTCTCTTTCGGAAGCCCTGTCTTCCTCCTCCCACAAGGAAGAAGGGCTCTTCCAAAAGAGGAGGCTTTTCCAAAATTTGGCCCAGTGTAGACATGCCAAATTTCGGAAAAGCCTCTTCCAAAAAACTATCGGAAAAAGATGCACAAATTGCGGAGTGCAATTTGTGTATCTTTTTCCAATAGATCATTGTAGTGTAGACATAGTCTGGGACTGGCAAAGGTTGGCCCCAAGCTTCCCCACCTGTCTGGGACTGCCCTAGCCCACCCCTGCATTCTCCGCTACACCTCTCCCCAACCCTGTGCCCTGAGCCCCCCACTACCCTAGCCCCTTGCCCTGACTCCTGCACCCCACATCCCCATCACTGCCCTGAGCCCCCCCCACCCTTAACCCTCTGTTCTAACTCCCCCACCCCTGCATAGTACCCCCACACTTACAGAATGACTACCCTGTGTGCTTATTTCAAAATAAGCTGTTTTGGAATAACAACTCCTGAAATAGCGTGTCCACACTACAAACGTCCATCAAAATAGTGCAGAATTATGTCAAAATAGAGCGTCCACACTGATTGGAGCCTGAATCGCATTTAAGGCCCCCCACCCCGAAAATACTCTGGGCAGGGCAGCAGGACAGCACTCACTTCCCATAGCTGCTGCCTGAGGCTATCTGAGGCTCAGACTTAAGACTTTTCTATTCTACAGCCCTGTCTCAGGCTCCTCTCGATTGCCTACCTCCTTGAGGGACAGCAAACTTTTCTAACTGCCTGCTCTGCTTGCCCTTGTGGACACCACAGCACTTCTGCCATGGAGCCAGATCTGCTGCAAAGTACTCACTGGCTACATCTAGACTGGCATGATTTTCCGCAAATGTTTTTATCAGAAAACTTTTCCATTAAAAGCATTTGTGGAAAAGAGCAACTAGATTGGCACAGATGCTTTTCTGCAAAAGCACTTTTTGTGGAAGAGTGTCCGTGCTAATCTAGACGCGCTTTTGTGCAAAAAAGACCCAATCGCCATTTTCGCAATCAGGGCTTTTTGGCGCAAAACAAATCTGAGCTGCCTACACTGGCCCTTTTGCGCAAAAGGACTTTTGCCCGAACGGGAGCAGCATAGTATTTTTGCAAGAAGCACTGATTTCTTACATGAGATCTTTTCTTACATTTTTCTTTGCGGAAAAACTTGCCAGTCTAGACACAGCCCCTGTGTGCTGCTTGTGCTACTTGCCCTTTAGCGCAAAAGCTTTTGTGCAAAAGGGACTTTTGCCCGAACGGGAGCAGCATGGTATTTCCGCAAGAAGCACTGATTTCTTACAGTAGGAAGTCAGTGTTCTTGCGGAAATTCAAGCAGCCAGCGTAGACAGCTGGCAAGTTTTTCCGCAAAAGCAGCTGCTTGTACAGAAAAACTTGCCAGTCTAGACACAGCCACCAGCTCTTAAACCTCATGCCATGCCTACTGGCGCAGTTCCTGCAGGCTGCCCACGCGGTGCTGCAGGACCAGCCGCTCACTCTGGGGCACCTCCTCACCCCACTCCACGTGCTTCTCATGCAGCACAACCCCTTCTGTCCTCCCCTGCACACTGCACTGCCACTTCTGGTGCCAGGACACCAGTTCCGACTGGTGGGACCAGATCATCATGGAGCGGTGGGACAACCAGCAGTGGCTCCAGAACTTTCACATGTGGAAGGACACCTTCCTGGAGCTGTGTGAATGGCTCGACTCTCCTGCCAGGGTGGGGGGCAGAAGCTGAGTGCCTCATAGAATCATAGAGCTGGAAGAGCCCTCAGGAGGTCATCAAGTCCAACCCCCTGCCCAAGGCAGGACCATTCCCAACTAATTCAACCCAGCCAGAGCTTTGTCAAGTTGAGACTTAAAAATCTCTAGGGATGGAGATTCCACCACCTCCCTAGGTAACCCATTCCAGTGCTTCACCAGCCTCCTAGTGAAATAGTTTTTCCTAATATCCAACCTGGACCTCTCCCACTGTAACTTGAGACCATTGCTCCTTGTTCTGCCATCCGGGGCCACGATAAGGTGGGTGCATAATTGGCTGGATAACCGTAGTCAGAGAGTTGTTGTTAACGGTTCTAAATCCTGCTGGAAAGGGATAACAAGTGGAGTTCCTCAAGGGTCTGTTTTGGGACCCGTACTGTTCAATATCTTCATCAATGATGTAGATATTGGGATAGAGAGTACTCTTATTAAGTTTGCAGATGATACCAAACTGGGTGGGGTTGCAACTTCTTTGGAGGATAGGGACATAATTCAAAATGACCTTAGCAAGTTAGAGAAATGGTCAGAGGTAAACAGGATGAGGTTTAATAAGGAGAAATGCAGAGTGCTCCACTTAGGAAGGAACAATCAGTTCCATACATACAAGATGGGAAGCGACTGTCTAGGAAGGAGCATGGCGGAAAGGGATCTAGGGGTCATAGTGGACCACAAGTTGAATATGAGTCAACAGTGTGATGCTGTTGCCAAAAAAGCAAATATGATTCTAGGTTGTATCAACAGGTGTGTTGTAAGCA